AAGACTTAAAGATTAAAGAGATAATGACAAGGACTTGATCAAAAGGACAAGTAATCTGCATCCAAAGATCTTAAAAACTACTAAGCCAGAGAGGAAAAATAACAATACATAACAATAAAACAAATCACAAGAAAAACTATCCCTCCAAAAAAAAAGACTTTATTCTGGGGGCCTTTATTAATCAGTGCAGGGAAAAAAATGTCATTATTCTGGGGTACTTTATTAATCCAGGTTCAACATTATGCCATTATCATCCATTGTCATGAGAGTGAACATAGGAGGGGGTGGATGATTTTTGTTCGAATCATCATGAACCGCGCGGGCGCCCTCGTGAAGGGTTGGGTTCGTCGCTTAGTTTTGGAACAGGATTGAGTTTTGAGTTGCGGCGTGTCTCTAGATGCATTCGACAGCTAGCCTGCGTTCTAGGCTGCGTGAAGGGCTGCGTGGACCTGACCTAGTTGTGGGTCAAAACCTGGGGGCCCTCATTGACCAACGAAAAATGAACAGAACAAACTACTATAAGATCTAAGGAGGTCAACCTACATTCCCTACATTCCATCGTGACCACCTGAGCCCGGGGGGGCCCAAGAGCATCGGGTCCGGAACTGTTCGAAACCATCCAAACTCGCTGCGGCCGCCATGTCTCTGTCGGGGTTGTCCAGGTCTTTCCACTCCAATCTGGTCGACCTTGCTTGTCCGTCGCGTCACACCCAGTCAATCGGAAGGATTCCAAGGAATTCAACCTGCAGAATCATTCCAAGGGGATTGGACTCTGACGATCTCTGTGACACTTCAGACTCTTGGATTAATAACTCCCGTTTGGATTGAACAGCCTCTTCGGAAGCGGGGGATGTTAATCTCAAGACGCTACATCGAAGCTAGTGGACGAACTCGTGAGCTCCATCGCTGGTGAGTTCCCCCGACACTGCCGCGCCGGAGCTCCGCCACGGCCGCAGCGCCGTTCTGGCGCAGCGGAGCTCCGCCGCAGGGATTTGTGAAGATGGCCCTCCGCTCGGGTGCATCGCTTGTCCCAGCCACTTGGTGGTGAGGTGTCCATGGTGTGTTTCAGTATGACCAGGACTGTAACAGATTGAGGTTTGGCTGGTACACTCGTCCCGGCTTGAGGTCTGTTGTTTTTGGACACCGTATCAGGTTTGGTTTGACCATGGGGGAGTTTTTTGTGCCAATGCCTCAGAAATGCACAGGGAGGTTTGTTTAAGATCCATCAAGGCACATGAACTATAGACCTCAGACTCTAAGAAGACCAATTGTGTGGCTCAGGTGGGCCATCGCTGCTCGTAGTAGGTTAGAGGCTGAGGCCATCGCTACGGTTCTCTTTTGTGTGGCTCCATTGTTGTCAGAGAAAGCTGTCTTCAGAGTCTGTTCACCTGAGTGATCCAGAGTTCTCCCTTCTTTTCGCTCCCCCTGAGTTGAGCCGGAGGGTGACCAAACGGACGGACCACGAGAAAGGACGCTGAAAACCGGGGGCGCACGCCCTGGGCTGTGCTGGAAAACGCTGGGAACGGGGAGGGTCGGTCATCTCAGGCCTTTGGGATCCGAGTGGTGCTGACTCACTGCGTCTCTTTGTGACCAGGTAACTTGAACAAAAATCACCAGCACTAGCAAGATGACTCATGGATTTTCTTTGCTATGCGCCTGCTTCGTGCTTATCCCGCCCCCATCCGTGTTCGTTGCGCCATACTCGCCTTCCAGACCGGTGAGACCTGCTTAAGCAACGCCACGCAACGCGACGCCAAACGAGCGGCGCGTCGCAGGTCTTCTCCTTCGGTGAGACGGACCTCTTTGGTGTCTTCGCCAGCAGTCGCTTCCGACGCTTGCAGCTCTGGCTGCAGAAGCAGATGGGCGCGGACCCTCAGACGGTCGGCCGCCAGACGGAGGTGGAGACGGATTCCCGGGTTTGAGGATGAGACAGGAGTGGAGGCAGGCCCGGCCCCAAGCAACGGATTGTATATGTTGCCTTCTACCAGTGGGTATTTTGGCAGGTATCCCTTTGTTTTCATTAGACTGTAGACATTTGTAATTACTTAGACTGTTGATTCATCAAACCTCCGAAGCATAATTAGAGATGTGAAGAAGCCATCCAGGTAGAGAGGGTTTTGTTCATCCATTGTCTACATGTATGGTCAAGACTCAGGTCAATACCTCTCATCACCTATCTTGACCGTAGCTCGAGGTTGCTGAGAGAAGTATTTGATGAGTCCAAATCTGGGCCTAGATATGAGGCATAATTAGATAATACTTAGACAACTTACTGAACAAGGTTGTTCATTATTCATCTAGATTGAATAATACTGATGATGATGATGATGATGATGATGATGATCCAGTTGTAAACATGGTTGATCCACCGAGTCCACGCCAAAGTCGCCGCTCAAAGAGGCTTTGGCATTCCCTTCTTCTTCGGTCGGGCTTTGACAGGCCTGTGTGTGTGTGCGCCCGTGTGCATGTGGAGGGGAAGCACGCACTCGAAGAGATCATAGAACATCATAGACTACTCATGAATGTTGACCTTTGATCAATAACAACACCTCGCCATTTGGATGGGCGTCGCCCTCTCCGAGTCTACAAACCATGTTTCAAGATGAATCGATTTGCCAGTGCCTTGCATGCAGTATGAGTTCTTGAAGTCGGGACCGCGTGATGTGGCAGGGACCGCGTCGGGTTTGTCGTGCGGCGATGGGGCGAGAGAGAGCACCCCAGATCACGTGATCAGATCCTGAGAGGCCCGAGACCACCTATGTATGGCATACTTGCCTACTTGGTGTTGTTTGGGGGGTCAAAGTAGGCATAGTTAGCATCATCAGGCATAATTAGGCATATTGCATACATGGATGGCCTGGGATCAATATATCCGACAGCGACATGTGTTTTCAACTGCAGGAAAGACCCTTCGTTCTCTGTATTCCAAAGCTTCCTGTGATCACCAACGGCGGAGGGCTTTCCACTTAATCAGGGTTGCAAGCGATGCAAGGTGAGATTGATCATTTGTGTTGATCAGTTGATCACATTTTCGTTGGGACCTCTATAGGTTGGTGACTGAGAAAGAAAAACGAGGCCGGCCCTAGTGCTACGCCCCAGTGCTTAGAGCGGTGAGCTTGGCGCTTCCAGGTTCAGTCCTTCGAGTTCGCCTGGGACCCTCCAAAAAAGAGCGTGAAACGCAAGAAGGTGTTGTTCCAGGTCTTTTGGCCAACACCCTAGCTTTCAAAGACCAAAAGAGTTTGGTTGACCTGGTGGTGTTGTTGTCCAAAATCCTTGGTTTCCACAAGGGTTGTCTAGTAAAAACATGTTAAAACAACAAATATATGCCCAGAACCTGAGTGACCTCTATTTTGGGATCACCAACCAGCCAGAATGATGAGCTTTCCTATCAAATCAGGTCTCAAATGGGCTCTAATGTATATATACTGTGCATCTTCAAACGGCTCCAAAATTATGGATATTATATATCTTCATTTACATATTATGCATACTGGCATACTGTATTATGTGTATAAATCAATGGCGGCGGAATGGCCCACCGCCTCCACTCGCCTGTCGCTGGTCGCCAGGTGGCGTGCTGCACCGAGTGTTTGGACTCTCCAGGGGAGTGATGCCACTACGGATGCCCGCCACCGGGCTGACTCGACTGACCGGTTGCCCGCTGCGTGGACGGTTTTCGGGACTCAGGACGAGGGATGGTCTCTCCGTCCGGGAGAGAGGGGTGGAAGGTCCATTTTCGCTTGGGTCCTGTCGTTGTGCTGTGGTTTTCCCAATTTCAGGACCACGGTTTCGGTGAAGGGCGGGGGGCGGGTGGTCCCGCACAGGCGTGGGTTTCGGAATTCTCCAGTTTTGCAGAGAGGATGTGGGTCATGGTTTCTATAGTTGGTGGGAGGTGAATGCACTGGGTGGATCCTGGTTGGAAGAGATTAGGGAGGTCAACCGGTCAACCTAGCAGGGTGCAGAGGGTTCTGGGCTTTGACCCACCGCCAGATCAAGGAAATTGAAGGAATCCATCTCGGAGCGTCACCATCCAAAGTTGAGCCTGCTTTTGAATTGAATTGCTTTCCCGATTGCGGCCTGGTTTCTGATCAGGTTGCTTTGGAGGTCTCTTCTGTTGAATGAGCGGGATCTAGGATCCTTTTCACAAACAGATTGTTCTCCACTCACATGATTATTTCAGAGAGTCTAGATTATGTTGAATCAAACTCCGTTCTTTTCGAACTCGATTTCGCTGCTTCAAATCTGCCCCTCTTCCGAAGCCCATCCATTCGCTGGCCGCTGCGCTCCGCTCCGCTGAGGTCCAGTCCATTGTGGGGAGACCCATCTATGTGGAGAAGCCCATTGCGAACCCCACTCAGGTTGCCTTCAGATGTCGATCTCAGACCGAGCCGAAATGCCGGGCCCGTCCGCCGCGAACGACCTTGCGGATAGAGACCAATACCATCTGTGCCATGACCCACAGCCATAGTATTTGAAGTACTGTATACGGCCATATGTAGACGGATCCAGGACTCGTAGCTCAATCGGTGACAGACCTCCATGTTTGGCAGTCGACCTCCGTCGCAGGAGCAGGTCGATGAACTCCATCAGCGCTACGTCAATGAGCTCCGCAAGGCGTGCCGCGTGAGCGAGGAGATGGCGCCAGGTTTCGCCACTTCCCACCGGGAGGTACAGAAGAATCGCCACGGAAGGGGTTGTTTATTGGCATGGAAAAAGACGGGTTCAAGGAGTTAAAGGAGCGTCCATGGCCACCACGCTTTCCGAACTCTTTCTTGAAATAGGTGTTGCAGACATCCTTGGAAATCAAGACCTTCTCGCAGTCAGTGTGCCAATCATGATGCTGATTCTTCACTCGACGGTCCGGTCCTGGAGCATCTTTCTCACCATGGTACTCCATACTCAGACCATGCACTGGGGGCCGGACACTGGGGGCTTGCGCACCAAAATCCGTGACACTGTCGCTCCCAATTTTTGTTTCAATGAAAAGCACTGTAAGGGACTGGACGCTGAAGAACTTCAAAGCCTTTCTTCTCGCTGCTTCTTGGTTCCCGCGTTGAACAAACCACGCCGGACCATTCCAATGGTTTGACCAGCGCAGAACGGAACATGGATCCCAACTATGCAGGTACATTAACTTCAATTGACGGGGTGCCTTCGAAGGTGTTTGCACTGTGATTGCTGAAAGTCTGGGAGAACTTCACGTTGTTTTTTGTCCCGAAACAAGCGCTTCAATGGCGGATCAAGCTGAGTCTGCTATGCTTCCTTCCTCACGTCCGTGCCCATGTTGATTGCACATACTGTTACTTCGCCTCCTTTTAGGTGTTTTTAGTGACCGAAGAAGCGGAAACACGAGAGACTTCGCCAGATCTACGAGGAGTGGAAGGAGCCTTTCATGGAAGCTCGTGCCAAGATCATGGAATCCCAAGGAGAGGCCGCCAAGGCCGCCGAGCTGCGGGAGTTCGTCCAGCGAAGCGCCTTCAGGGAGTTCATCTCCATGCCACACCAGGATGACCCACAACTGGAGTTGGGAATGAGATTGTAGGGTGTTCTTTGATGGGAATGATTCTCAATTAAGACCTAACTGTTATTTAACAATATTTAATATACTTAAAGGTTCAAGGCGTTTAGTATTTGGATGTGCTGCTTAGTGTTACTTAGGAAGTAGCCTATTTTGAGATATAACTTCTGTACGTGAAGATATAAATGACTTTTCTATGACAACTATTTATCACCACTTACTATCTATGACGCATCAATTACTTTGTGTTGTAACTATGTAAGCTACTTACTATCTAATTTGTATCTACTTATGCTAAGTGAGCTAAGTACTTACCACACATACAAGCCAGACCCCCAAGTCAAGGACAAGGTCAGGAGCACAGATGTGGCGCGCAGCTGCTGGCGTCGCCCTACTTCAGGGTACGCCTCCCCCGTCGAGGGCCGTCAAGAGGTTGTGGTTGAACGGGACAACTCATGCAGACATGTCATGTAGAGCTTCATTTGCTTGCAGTTGCTTTTACTGGTGAAGTCTGCAGTGTTTTTCGAGTGGGCAATTCAGAATGTTTCTTGCTTTTACATGGCTTTCATGAGGTTTCCCGTTGTCATGTGACATGACATGGCCAGACGTGACATGGTTTTCCTGTTTTCATGTGGCGTGACCTGGCATGACATGTCGTGGTTTCCTGTTTTCATGTCACATGACATAGCATGACCTGGCTTCCTGTTTTCATGTGACATGGCACGACATGGCATGACACGGCCATGACATGGCTTCCTGTTTTCATGAGACATGACATGGCATGACATGACATGACACGGCCATGACATGGCGTGACATGACGTGTCATGTGGAGGACTCCAACATGTTCTGCATGATGCGAAAGAACAAACACTTCTGCAGTCAGATGTGTGTTCAAGAACTTGAAATATCATTTTCTGTATCATTTATACCGGGGAACCATGAAGGTGTCATGACAAACACGTTCACATGAAGGTGACAATCTCAGAACATGAGCTTCATGTGTCAAACACTCTGACTTTGCACATGCATGAGTCTCAGAACAAGCATGAGCGTCATGAAAGGTCCCAATCTCACAAATATGTTCGCCCATTTCACAAGCATGTTCTCACACATAACCACTCCTCTCACAAGCCGAGCATCATGGCACTTCCTCGTCACGTGCTGGATGGAATGCAAGAGCTCCTGCACAAGGAGCCTGAGAAGTTGGTGAAGACCGTGCAGTCCTGCCTGGACTTTTTGACGGAGCACGGCATGGTCACGACAATGAAGCTGCCACCACTGGCAGTTGGAGTCCACCCTTCCAACCGCGATGGTTGTGGAGTGAACCCAAGAGACGTTCACGAGCTCATCGACAACATCACTGCCGTTGGATGGGTGGATGCCAAAGTGGCAGGCGTAGCAGTGGAGATTGAGGATTCGTAAAAGATTCTCACGATCGAAAAAAATCCGTTATGGCATGCCTTTCATCACATGACACGAACCTCATGTCATGTCACGCTACGACATTGCATTCAGCACCATGACATGGCATGCCCTCCGCATTCAGCCTGCCGCTCCTAGGCTTGGAGCTGTTGAACACGCTTCGACGTGTCAGATGCTCAATGAAAACGGTCTGCAGACAATTCTGGACACCATGCTGCTTGAAGTAGATTCGAGAGTGGACCCATTCTTCAGTAGATGTGATCTCCAAGTCTTCTATAGAGGTTCAAAGGTTGAGGTTTATCGCACTGCGAGGGATTAACCTATGAGCATCCGTTTTGAGGCGTGAGCGATCTTCTTGATCTTCCTGGCAGACCTGATGCCGGCTTTGCGGCCTGACCTTTGGTCGCACGACCTTCACTCCGGCAGGTCGTGAGCTGGAAAAGAGTGAATCCCAATATATTATTGTTTATAATATAGTAAATTTTCATTGGGTAATGCTTCACGATTTTACAAAAAAATGGTTGGGTAATGCAGCAGCTTTTTGCAATACTATAAAATTTCATTGAGTAATGCAGCATTTTTTGCAATACTATAAAATTTCATTGAGTAATGCAGCATTTTTATAATATTATAAAATTTCATTGGGTAATGCAGCCAAATTTTATAATATTACAACAATTCATTGGGTAATGCAGCCAAATGTTTATAATATTATAAAATTTCATTGGGTAACGCAGCCAAATTTTTATAATATTACAAAATTTCATTGGGTAATGCTGCCATTTTTTACAATATTACAAAATTTCATTGGGTAATGCAGCAAAATTGTTATAACATTATAAAATTTCATTGGGTAATGCTGCACAATCTATATAATGTTATAAGAATCTAGGTCTAGAGCCAATCATATTTTTACAATATTGCTAAAATTTTTGCAGACCACACGCAGTGATGAAACGCACATTGTTTTTTTTGTGAGATGTGGTTGAGCTCTAGTCTTGCTCTGAGCACTTGCCGAACTGGTCAACTGCTAGAGGCTTGAGACAATGTTTAAAAACACTTTGAGATGTGGTTGAGCTCTAGTCTTACACTGAACATTGGCCAACCCAGTCAACTGCTACAGGTTTGAGTGAGATTTTTTTTTGCGGGTGGTTGTTCCCAGCTGTACTTGTGTTGTGCTCTCTCACGTCTACAGCAGTTCTTGTGTCTGTTGTTCTTGTTGTTGTCATGTGAAACGCAACGCAATCAACATGACAAAATCCATGACCATGACAACGTGTCAGGACGCATGTCAGCACAATATACGACTGCGTGTGGAGACACGTGTCAACAGTTCATTTTGATGGGCATGACAGCCTGTTTCTTCTCCTCAATCATGTTTGTTTGGTGTGTGATGTCCCAACTCCTATCTGAGCTGAACGAGGTCCAATCCTTCCTCACAGCGCAGAAGAACACTTTGGGGAAGCACTTCACTGAAGTACGGGACGCGCAAGCAAAAGGTTTGGTTGGGACGCTCTGCTTGCGCTTTTCACATGTCATGTCACGCATGCACGTTTTGGGCTTTTGTTTGTGGGAGGGCGGGTTAGTTGCTGTCAAAGTTTGCCCGGGAGATACAACTTCACTTGTCTACCTTCCTGAACAGTCATGGATCGGAATACTGGACGCCAAAGTTCCACAGCCGCTTGCATTTACCGTCCATGTGGAGAAAACATCAAGTGCTCCTGGCATGCTTCTGCCAGGAGAGGAAGCGCCGCATGAAGCGCATAGTGAATCAAGTGAACAACCCTGCCCGGTCGTTTGAAAAGAGTGTCATGCAGGACACTACTCTGAGACAGTTCGAGATGATGGATGATGAGGTTTCGATTCCACGCGAGTGGCCATGTTTGTTGGAAGCGCAGCCGGCTTCATCAAAGATCTCTGACATGATTTCGATGGCCCTTCAGCTTCCTGCAAATGTTGTTGTCAAGTCTTCACGAAAGGGCATCACCGGCTGGTCTTTGTTGAGGCCACGGTCGACCGCAAACACATTGGCAAAGTGAGGTGCCTCTGCAGCGTTGAGGACACATGCATGGCATGCCTCGACGTGTGGGAGCTTGTGACGCAGTCTCAACTGCCAGCTTGTGCCTCTTGCATGTGTCACAGACACGTGCATGCACTGCATGAAGGAAGGGGGAGCGCTGGCGATCTGGTGAAAATAAGGCTTCTGCGTCAAGCTGTCAACATGTTCATGGGTTCACATGACATGCAGTCAACATTACATGAGGCCCACACGACATGCAGTCAACACGTTCATGAGGGCAATATGACGTGCAGTCAACGCGTTCATGGGATCATATGACATACACTGGCCCCCTCGCAGGTGACGCCAGCAGCTGCCGTGCCCAGGAGGGAAGAGCGGCTCACACAGGGTTGGAACTCTTTTGGGGAAACACTTAGGACACTTACTAACTGCTCTAAGTGCACATAGCCAAGTGTGCTAAGTGTTTTCGTATGTGTTGTATATGGTTAGTATGTATGCTAAGTGTTTACTAACCACGGTGGACCTTTAAGTAAGTTTGGTCTATTGCACTGGGAATGAGGGTGTTCATACGATTTGGGGTGTAAGCCCCGAAGCAGTGCGGTCTGCGGTCCAGTTGCCCAAGTTGTGGCCGTTGAAGGCCGCCGAAGGCCCCTCGTGTCCTTCGCCGGAGGTTCACCCAAAGTCTGGTGCAGTCTCAAAAGCGCGAGAAACATGTTTAGATCTTGCTAGATCATGATCATGAAGTCGACGTGTTCGAATTCTTCGAATTTGGCTCTTGGGAATGTCTTGATGCAAATCCCAAACCAACTCTTTGTTCACCTCTACCTCTCTTGGTACCAAGACTCCATCCCAACCGTGTTCAGGCCGTGCTGAGACGGGGCAGTTTCCACCTCGAGAAGGTCGAAAGCATGGCCATGGTCGGCTGAGCGCGTTCGTCTTCCCACCCGGGCGAGAGGACATAGCAGAGCGAGACGTGGAGTTGAGCGAGGAAGTCGTGTCGGACGTGGAGCGAGATGGGAATCGGAAGTACGAGTAGAGTAGACGAAGTCTAATCAAAAGGGAACTATAGAAATGATGTGTGTGATTGAACATCATACAAGGTGTCCAACAGCCTAACTGTTTGTGTTTGTTTGTTTGTTTTTGTTTTTTCATGGTGCCACTTCGGCTCTGCGGCGGCTCTGCGTGTGTTTCCAGGCTCTCTTCATTCAAAGGTCCATCTTCCGACTGGATACCATTCCGGTCTGGTTCTCGCAGTGGCCGAGTGCTCCCGATAAAGTTTTCAGCAAGCGAGGGGAGTTTCATAGAGAGTTGGGTGCTTTGGTAGGTTGTAGGTAGAGGTATACTTATATAGTAAGTATGTATCTATATATATATATATAGATGCTGTCGACATTGGACATTCATAGGGGTTCCGGGAGAGTGAACTCAAAATTGTTACACTTTCTGGATATACGCCATACGAGTCAAGCTACATATAGATCTATGCACCAGTCTATCAGCAACTTGGAGAAGCAGAGAGGAGATATTTTGTGTGGAACACGTATGAACACATGCAGAATAGATGGCCTTTAACATCCTTTAACTATATCTTTAACTACTATTATTGGTCGATTGATTAATAGACCCTGTCGTGAACAACAAATCTTAGGTACATGAAAGGTCGAGGTCGGACGTCTATTGTCGAGGGATTGGTGTTGACAAATGCATGTCTCCTTGATGTCACTGGTGGCCCGGCGATTTCTCACATCTCACGCGCTGAGTGTTATTTGTTTTGAGGACTCAGCATGGTGACTTGTAGAGCAGGCTCTGGAAGCAATCTTGATTTTTCTCTCTGGGAAGTCTTTGTGTCGATCAGTTGGCCGACACTCGACTTTTCTTGAGGATGATACCTTTCAATACCATCTCCTCGCTTGCCCTTCTCCGATCATGCGCATTTCCCAGGGTCCCAGAGGAACTTTACCATCTTTCAGACTGGTCCAACTTCCACTCGCTTGGAGTGGAGGTGAACCTCAGTCTCGGCCCGACTCGGCCCTGTGAGAATCCAAGAATCTTCCCAGGAAGTCAGTCGTCGTCATCCAGGAGGTTTGAGGCCGGCCACTTGGGTTTTGCGGATCGAGTGAATTCTCATGCACGAATGCACGATGAATCCCCGAACGGAGCAGGGGGGAGGTGTTCAGCGGAGCGGTCGAACGCGAACCGAACGGGGATCCTGGCCTTACTACTATAGGAACAATTCAGCTACCAACAGAGCAAAGGGCATCGCTACTAGCAACAAGGACGTTACTAGTAGCTCCTGGCCTTACTACTAGAAACAAGAAGCTACGAACGGGGCTCCTGGCATCGCTACGAACGGAGCGATCGGACGCTACGAACGGAACAGTCTGTGTTGTTTTGCCCAGCTCCAGGGAGCCGCAACCGAGCCGACCGTGCCCAAATCTCGCCGCGCGACGGGTTCTTGCACGGCTTCGCCGGCGGCGCTTGGCGGCCCAGCTTGGTGCGATTGATTTGTCAGAAAAGGTGTGCTGCTGGAGTTGGCTGCGTGCAGGTTGTGAATGGTTGTGACCTGTTCTTTGTCTGGAACAAACAGGAACAAACAGTTGACCGCGCTTAGAAGGTGGCACGACGTGCTTGGTTGCCGGTTGCCGAATGATTGGCCATACCTTCTAAAAGTACCCCCGATCGTGAATGCAGGAGCATTGGTGCTCAGATGTGATAGAAGCGGTATGTCTTTGGATTGAAAAATGTTGATACGAAACCATAAGAAAACGCTTGAAAACGAAACTTTGCCCTAGAATAGTCCAGCGAATTTCCTCTATAATGGTACCCTAGGGGTCTTTTTGGTGCATTTTATAGAGGGTATTCTAGAGGAAAAAATCAATGGTTCTCTATAAATTGACCCACCCCGGGGTGGGTCAATTTATAGAAACCCCTGTTTTAGGGCAATATGAACCCTGGGTGTATGGATTCTAAAGAGGCAAGGATTTTGATGATGGCTCTTATACTCGAAGTATGTAACCCTGGGTAGCGTGATTGTATAGAGACCATTTTATAGAGAATCATTTTACAGAAGTCTTCATTTTACAGAGAAGCCTGGATGGATGTGAGCAGCGTCAAAAACCTCCCACAAACAGTTTAAGCACACTTGTAAACTCCAACTTGCCAGCAGAAGCCAAACTGCAGTCGTGGAAGCTTGCGGAAGCCACCGCGTAAGTGTATGGTAAAATTCACCATCGCTGAAGCTTTGCGGAAGTGCGCATGTTATCTTCTTGAACCTTGTTGGCAATAACAAATGCCTCTTTACTTTTTAAGGAGGTTTGTCCAACCTAGGAGCACTTTAGCGCCGGGGAAGAGGACTTCAACCAAACATGGCCTGCGGAAGTCAACAAATATGTTTTTGGGGAAGGAGGTGAATGATCTGGTGTGCCATGGTGTGTGATTCTATAGAGTGGCTTTTTGCTTTGAGGCATGTGCTTTTTGATGATTGTACTTGTTTGTGGAGTTCCAGGGCAGCGCACACAATATCAGAAGTAGATGTACTGAGCCTATATAAACGAAAGGCCCTGATTCTATAAAATATAATTTGGAGGTTTCCAGGGGGTTGACTGGGAGGCCTTCAAGAACCCAACACCTGACTCATATGGTGTGTTGCTGTTAGGAAGGAGAGCCATTGTGTGGCTCTGGATGTGTTTGGGGTTTGTGGATGCGTGGTGGGGAGGTTCATGTGGGAACCCTGGGGTGTCACTAAAGAATGAGGCCACCTACTCCATGTTAGCAACTATATCGACCTGATATTTCCATTAGGGTGCGTGAATCTATAGAGCACCATTTTGGCAGGTGATTCTATAGTAGTCCAGATTTTAAGCATGGGATGTGTGATTCTATATTCTGCAGCCCTTCTTCTCTACCTTGGGTGCCCAGATTTTATAGTGCTAGAACCCTGGGGGCACCGTTTTATATCTATAAAATGACCACCCTTGGGGGTCAGGTGGAATTCACAGGAGGATCCCTAGACAAATCTTCGCAGAAGTTTTCCCCGTGGAAGACTTCGTTTTGAAAATAATCCAAATACGACACCAGTTGCTAGACGTATATGGATACACAACAAAGAGTGGGCCCGTCCCCCAATCTACGAGCAAATTTTGGAAAGTTTAATTCAGCCATATTCAGCCAGCTTTTGTGAGTATTGCAGATCATACTTTTATGTTTTTGTTGTCCTGATGCGGCTTCTAAATTTGTTTTTGCACCCTTCAGAGCTTTTTGTATTTTTCAGAGTTTTGTTTCGTTTTGTTTTTTCCTGAAAGGATTTCTGAACCATTCAGAATATCATTGTTTTAATGATGTTTTTCTATACATGCTATTTGAAGCATTCAGAATTTCCGGGCGCTCCGAGGGTGTGAACATCAACCAAGTTCCGGAGACGAGACGATGTCCGGTCCGCCGGTCCGCCGGTATGGTTCGAACCGTCCGGCGGTCTTCAAGTTGTTTCGGGATGGAGTTCCTTAGGCTGACTGGTGCGACTCGTAGGGAATATGGGAATGGATCCTGAGGGGTCTACAGGGGTGGTTCATTCCCTCATTCCCTACTAAGCACGAGTCTGTAGGTGATTTATGGTTTTATGTCTTTTTAAAGCTTTTTTGGGGGAGGCCTCAGATGGAAGGCCTTGACTCAGGTCTGTTGATTTCAAGATCTCTCCTTAGGCACCATCAGTGTCCTCATCCTTCCCAGACCCTTTCCAGCCAGGTGTCCCACATTCCCAGAGAAGGCCTTGACTGTCGATGTACAAGGTCCCACACCATTTACGTTAAGACTCCCCAGAGCTCCGGAGTTTCAAGTATTCCGGGAATATCCTGGAATAAGGATATAATACTGTATACATATCCGTTTTTGTAATAACTACAAATCACTTTGTGATTATTAATACGTTGTTATATATGACCATGTTGTGTTAGAGTTCATCAATCATTCATCCAAACCTTCTACTGCCGAACAGCTTTTCACCTTGTGAACGATGCTCCATGGCCCTGGGGACCTATGGCCGTACGTAGACACAGCAACTGGATCACCAGTGCTGGGGTGAGTATCCTCCACGTCAGTGCCGTTGGAAGTATCCTCTACCAACCCAGTAGTTGCCTCTAGCTGTAGACCTGAAAGTGCCTTTGACCTGGCTACAGTTCCTTTCGGAGACCATTGGCTGTTCAAAATCCAAGTCTTCCCCCTCACATGTCAGACGCCATGCCCTTGAGATCAGCCAAAAAAACATATCAAACAAACACCTTTCCTAGGGATCCGTTTTCGTACCGAACCTCAGGTTCGGTCACCTGGACCCGACGTGGCACCGGATGCGCATCCGCGGTGTGCGTCCTCACCTGCTGAGGTTCGCCCGTCTCGTCCGTCCTCCATCCGCTGAGGCGGTGGACTGGGCGCGGCAGCAGTGGGCAGAGTTGCTCTTGCGGCAGCTGCGAGAGCTTTCGAAGGACTGGTCTCAGATATTGGAGGGCCGGCTTTGAAAAGCAATGCTTCATTGGATTGACCTGGTTTTGCTCAAGGAAATTGGTTAGATTTGCCCTATGAGTAAATCCTCTTCTGGGGGAATAGGTCTATTTGTCCAGGTTGGACAGCAAATCCAAGGTGAATGGCTTGCTTTTCAAGGCCCTGCAACACGGCAGATCGGGTGTGGGTGTGATGTTATTAAGTGAATCCCTGAACCTGGAGAGTCGTTGATTCTGATGTTTTCTCGGCTTTCTGGGAGCAAGTAGAAAACAGGAGGACGAGAAGGAGCATTGCTATCTGTGCTATTTGGGATGGGGTCAAAACCTGGAGCCCTGGTTCACCATTCACCATGTAGCGGACTTCAAATATCGACCTCCCGATCGCCATGGTCTGGTACCGATGACATTCATTCAGGTGCCATTTTCCTCCGTCCCTG